CCCTTCAACCGCCAAACTAGAATCGACTACGCAGAACTAATGCCAAAGCCCTAAACCCTAAACCCCTAACCCCCTGAACCCCTAAACCCTTAAACCCTAAACTCCCAAACCCCCCAAGATCATCACAAAGAGAGGTTTGAGGCTTTTGGCTTGCGGGCCGTTAGAGGGGTTCATGCTTTTTAGGGGCCTTTACTGGGACGGGGCGGCTACCTGGGCTTAGGGTCCTGATGTAGGGTTTAGGGTTTGGGTTAGGGGTTTTCGGTTCTACAGGGTTTAGGCATCTCTACTTGGGACCCTCAAAGTCGCGAGGGTTTAGGGTTTAGGGTTTAGGGTTTAGGGTTCTTTGCTTTGAAAGCCCAGGAATACGTTGCTTCGGTACACCCCTAAACCTCAAGCCCCAAGTCGGAAACCCCTAAACGGGGCGTTGGGAGGGCTTAGGGTTTAGGGTTTAGGGTTTAGGGCTTATGATTTGGGGTTTATGGTTTAGGGTTTAGGGTTTAGGGCTAGGGTTTAGGATTTGGGGTTTAGGGTTTGGGGTTTAGGGTTTGCTTGGCTTTGGCTTTTTGCCAGGCCCTGCTCCATAGCTCGGCGATGCTCCACGAAGCCCAGAAGACCTTTGAGGAGCTTTCCGGCTGCACACCCAAGCCTCAAGGCCTCTCAAACCCTAAACCCTAAACCCTAAACCCTGAACCCTGAACCCTGAACCCTGAACCCTGAACCCTGAACCCCGAACCCCGAACCCCGAACCCTGAACCCTACCCCTAAACCCTACACCCCAAACCCTAAACCCTAAACTTTTGGGCTTGTGCTTGGGCTTAAGTCGTCGTATAAAAGGGGTCCCTTTTTTCATGGTCCATTCATATGGGGGTTATACGATATCTGGGGTACCTTGCTGAGGTCCTTATTCTTAGGGACCCTACTATTTGAGGGTTTAGGGTTTCGGGTTTAGGGTTTAGGGTTTTGGGGGGAGGGTCCCCTATACCCCGCATATGGTCCATTACTTCCCTTATAAAGGGTTCTGATGCATGGGCCGTCGGGTTGTAGAGGGTATATACAGGGGGATACAAGGGGTCCCCTTTTCAGGTCCAATATTAAGGGACCATGACACTACGCTAATGCGGGGTGCCATTTGTGCTTTCTTTCCTTAGGGTTTCTGGTTTTGCGCTTACAAGGAGGCCCCCGTCCCCGGTTATAAGTAGAGTTATCATGGCCCTAAATCCTAAATTCGGTTGGGAGGCTCCTGACTGAGGTTCGAAGTCTCCTAACTACAGTTAGTAAAGTATAGGGTTTAGGGTTTAGGGTTTAGGGTTTAGGGTTTAGGGTTTAGGGTTTAGGGTTTAGGGTTTAGGGTTTAGGGTTTAGGGTTTGTGCAGTGGTCGTAGGACAGTAGGTTGCCTGGGTGCCACGTGAAACCGGAGCCCTGAACCGCGCTTGAGTCTAGGAAAGACTCAACATGCCCCCCTTAAGGGCAAACCACCCTAAACCCTAAACCCTAAACCCTAAACCCTAAACCCTAAACCCTAAACCCTAAACCTCAGCAGAAACTAAGGGGTATGGTAAAATCCTTCCGTCTATTCTCCTTTAGGTCAAGGGGTATGGGTTTGGGGTATGTTGGATGGCTCCTGGATTGATGGGGTGTCAGGGACTGGGGCTCAGCGTTCAGGGCTTCCCTACTCAACCCGAAAGCCTCAACCTCACAACCCTAACCCCAGTATAGGATTAAGGACTGAGGTTTAAAGCCCTCAAGCCCAAAATCCCTAAACCCCTACACTTCAACCCTCAAAGCCTAAACGGGCCTACACCCAGGCCTTAAGGGTTGGGGTTGAAGATCTCAACCCCAACAAGCACCTAGAGCGAAAATCCCTAACGCCCACCCTAAACCCTGAAATCCTTGCCCAAAAGCCCTACATCCCTGAACCCTTAGGGCCTAAAATCAGGGGTTTTGGCTTCGGGCTTAAGAACCCAAACCCCAAGAAGCACCTCAAGCAAAGACCCGAACCAAAACCCCTGAAGCCCCAAACCCCCAAAACCGTATTCTAATTATTCAGGCCCCTATATTATACAACCGCATGTTGTCGATGACTGAGGCGAGGGATCACCGGCTCGGCTGCTGGGCAAACTTAGGGTTTAGGGTTTTTTGAAGAGTGCAAGGGTTGGGGTTCAGGGGTAGACTTCAAGCTCCAAGGTTTCATGGGTTTCGGTCAATAGTCCCGTTTCCAGAAACTAAAGAACCCTAAACCGACCCTGAAACCTTACTGAACCCCTCCACGCCCCAAGCGCTGACCTTGACTCGAAGCCCTAAATCCTAAACCCTAAACCCTAAACCCTAAACCCCTTAGCCCGGAAGCTGTGAGCCCTCCTGAGTCTTTTTGGCTTTCCCTAAACCCTAGAAACCCTAGAAACCCTGGAAACCCTTGAAACCCTTGAAACCCTATAAACCCTATAAACCCTATAAACCCTATAAACCCTACAAACCCTACAAACCCTACAAACCCTATAAACCCTAAACTAAACCCTACAACGCAAGTCACTTGGTCTGCTTTTTTTTGGAGCGACACCCTCGCCCATATCTCAGGCTGGCCTCTCCGTGGATTTTGGAAAGATGATGGCCAACAAGGACCCCAACGCCCTCCACCCTAAGCCCGAAACCCCAAGGGTTTAGGGTTTTGGGTTTTGGGTTCAAGGTTCAGGGTGTAGGATTCAGGGTTTAGGGTTTTGGGTTTTGGAAAGATGATGGCCAACAAGGACCCCAAAGCCCTTCACCCTAAGCCCGAAACCCCCAAAGCCAAAGAGCCCTCAGCCCCAAACCCCAAGCGGCAGCCCTGCAAGCCCTAGAAGCCCTAAACCCTAAACCCTAAACCCCGAACCCTGAACCCTAAACCCTAAAACTTATTAGAAGTCCTATAGGCCCTAGAAGCCCTATAAGCCCTAGGCACAAACCCCGTTCATCCCTCAAGTTGCCAGGACGCAGCTGTGAAGAAGCTCACTGGAGGCCTCCTCAGGGAGTACTGGGCTTAGGGCTTAGGGCTTAGGGCTTGGGGTTTAGGGTTTAGGGTTTAGGGTTAGGGTTTAGGGTTTAGGGTTTCGGGTTTAGGGTTTCGGGTTTAGGGTTTCGGGTTTAGGGCTTAGGGTTTAGTGGAAGGGTCATGCGTCGTAGCAACTAGTTTTACTGACTGCATGGCTCTTAGCAGGGAATGAGGGAATTAGATTTGGGCCCTATAGAACCCTTTAAAGGGTAAAGGTAAATATAAATGTAAATTAACATAATTTAATTGATATAAATAGATACAAACACACACACACATATATATATATATATATATGTAATATATATTATATGTATATGTATATATATATATATATATATATATGTGGCCCTCCTTCTCTCATCCCGTACGAAGAACCAGAGGGTTTAAGCAAGGGTTTAGCTAGGGTGAAGGGCTGGTAAAGGTGCTCCATCTCAAGGGAGGCTGCCACTCGCTGTCCAGTGCTTGATCCAGAAGTGGAGACTTCTGAAAGGAGACGTCACCGTGGTTCCATAAAGCTGCTGTGAATATGCTCCTGCAACCAAACTTGAAACTTGGGGTTCGTTGTCCAGCTGTCCAAGCTGCCCGCGCCCACGGCCTCGGGAGACGTCAAGTCCGCATTTCTCCAGAAAACCAACCTCCGAGACGAGGAGAGAGAGGTCTTCTCCATCCCAGTTCCTGCGTCACAGCTCCTCCACGAGGCCTTCACTCTAAACCCTAAACCCTAAACCCTAGTGCAGCGCCTTGGCGGCTTTGTGGCGCTTGCGGCTGCATGACCGACAGACAGCAGTTGTATATGGGGGGGGGTTCCGGTACTAGGGGGCACCTTACTCCGGGGTTTAGGGTTTAGGGTTGAGGGGGTTTAGGGTTTAGGGTTTAGGGATTAGGGTTTAGGGATGGGATCTATATTAAGGGTCCTGTATCATCGTAAGGGGTGTGTGTGTTTTTTAATTGGCGGTTTGGGGTGTTGCCCTAATCCCCGGCCAATCTTCCTCTTGAAGCCCGGTGCCAGAATTGGCAGCGGCTCGTGGGATTCAGAAAGGGGGTTTAGGGTTTAGGGTTTAGGGTTTAGGGTTTAGGGTTTAGGGTTTACCAACCCTGAAGCTGGCCAGAAGGAAAGGAAGGGCTTGGTGTCTGCCCACGTAAATAAGCCCTCAAACTCTCCGGTTCTCTCCTAGGTTTAGGGTTTAGGGTTTAGGGTTTAGGGTTTAAGGGCCCAGGCAGTCGAGGTCCGACTGTACTTTCGCACAGTCTTGCCTACTCCGAGTGCATAAGGGTACAGCCTGCCCCTGAACTCCCTTAAAAAACAGTTCCCTCGACCCTAAACCCTAAACCCTAAACCCTAAACCCTGGAAGGCATTGAGGGCCTCTTCAAGAGGGACAAGGCGATCCCGTTGAGCGAGGGAAGATTCCCTGATTCTTAGTAGGGAATCGGGTTTAGGGCTAGGGTTTAGGGCTTAGGGCTTAGGTTTTAGGGTTTAGGGTTTAGGGTTTAGGGCCCTTTAAGGGATTAGAAAAGGGTACCTCATGCCCTCCTTCCCTATCACGAACCAGTCAGAAGAGGGCTTGCAGGGTTTGGGTTCTGGGTCGTAGGGTGTTAGGGTGTTAGGATGTTAGGGTTTGTGCTTGTCGGGTTTCAGGGTTTCGGGTTGTTAGGGTGTTAGGGTTTCAGCGCAACCCTAGATCTAAACACCTGTCCTCCCCCCTGAACCCTGTACCCTGAACGATAAAGCCGGCAGGGGCCCCTTCCCAACACGAGTGATTTGTTTCAGGGTGGTATCGGTTTCGCGTTTTAGGCTTCAGAGCTTCAGGGCTTCAGGGCTTACAGGGTTTGACCCTAAACCCTATAGACCCTAAACCCTAACCCATAAGGCTTTGTGAGCCCCATCAAGTTTAGGGCCCGCTATGACGCAGTGTACATCCCAGAGCCACGAGCAAGCCTTGACGTCTCGAGCAGAAGTTGCTACGAGCCTCATGCTTCGCCTGTGGGACCACGGATCGGAGGACCAGGACGAAGCAGAAGTGGCGCATGGAAGAGAGAGGGCGCAGTGGCTGCGCGGAATGGCCCGGGCGCAGATGCCCTGCACCATGCGCGGTGGCATGGCAAAAGAAGCCGGAATGGCCGCGTGGAGCAGACTTCATTCAATCTTTCATGTTGGTGCCTGCACGCGCCTCGTCTAAGGACCGCCCGCGTCTTGGTAAGGGTTTAGCGTGTTTTGGCACTTTGGGTTTTGCCTTTGGCTGTTATTGGTTGCTTCGTACCATTTCGTAATTGCAGTCCGAGCCCCTGAGCCCCATAAGCCCTAAACCCTAAACCGCAGAAAGCCTTAGGGTCTATATAGCTGGTTTGGGGTTTACATCTGCGCACAGTGAACCCCCTAAACCCCAAAATCTCCTTGCAAACCCCGAACTTTTCATATCGTAACCGCTAAGCCTCAAGGTTTTGGCTTAGGGGGTTTAGGGGAGAACCCCTGCAGCCTTAACCATAGCCCAATCTACTATTTGCCTAAAAACATGCATTCCTTATAAGGGCAATATGGGGATTATAATCCTTCTTGCGGGGTTCTTAAGCAAATAGTAGTAATACAGGTCCCCTGCTGATCCCTACGCAAAAATCTCCTCTAAACCGTCCAACCCTGAAGCCCACACCCTTAAACCCTAAACCCTAAACCCTAAACCCTAAACCCTAAACCCGATAGGCCCTCAACCCTAACTCCTAAACCCTATAGGGGCCCTCAACCCTAAGCCTGAGAGGCCCTGAACCCTAAACCCGAGAGGCCCTAAACTTTAAACCGTATACACCCTAAACCCTAAACCCTAAACCCTAAACCCTAAACCCTAAACCCTAAACCCTAAACCCTAAACCCTAAACCCCACGCAGGTCACCTACCTCAAGGGCCATGGCAAGCTCACGGGGCCAAACTCGGCCACGGCCTTGCGGTTGTTGAGGGTTTAGGGTTTAGGGTTTGGGATGTGGGGTGTGGGGTTTGGGGTTTAGGGTTTAGGGTTTAGGGTTCGGGGTTTGGGATGGAAGCAGGAGGCTATGGGTTCTCGGGTTGAGGGTTTGGGGCTTAGGGTTAATTATTCAAGGGTTTGGTTTGGGCCTTAGAATTCATCAAGGGTTTGGGGTTTAGGGCTAGGGCTATTTTAGGGTGTAGGGCTTGTAATTCTCAATAAAAGAGGAGATCCTTTGATGTCAGCATTTTCTAAGACAAGGACTTTTAACTTTCATCACTTGCCGCTCCACCTCAGCGACCAGCCGTTCACATCTTAAACCCTAAACCCTAAACCCCAAACCCTTAACCCTTAACCCTAAACCCTAAACCCACGGGGTTGAAAGGGTTTTGGGTTTAAACCCTAAACCCGTATGTCCAGCGACCGCTGCAGAGACAGACGCCGCCAGTCATGATAAAGAACATCCAGATGAGCGGCCCAAAACTCGCATTCCCAACATATATATATATATATAGATAGATAGATAGATTTAGGTCTAGATATAGATAAATATAGATATCTATATGTATATATATATATAGAGATAGACACATATGTGTTTTTTATGTGTGTATATATATATATATATAGACCTTTTTAGCTTAGAGCATGCTTGCCCGACCTCTGACCCTTGACCTGCAGAGGTCACTGTGGCCATGAACGACGGCAGTGGTGAGCAGACCATCACGGCCAAGAACATCATGCCCCTGGGCTGTGGCCCTACACCCTAAACCCTGCAGGCCCTAAACCCTAAACCCTGTAGGCCCTAAACCCTAAACTCTAAACCCTGATTTGGAGAGTTAGGGTTACAGACGATGCAAGAAATCTGCAGCACCGCTTTCGTGCGGTTTGCGGACAGTAGCCACCCTAAGCCCTAAAACCGTAAAACCCTAAACCTGAACCCTGCTGTAGCCTACACACCTTCTTGCATACCATAAGTCCCCTACAAGGCCCTCCCCCCCACCCGTTTATTTGTGCCTGAGTTGGATACAGCTGCTGTGCATCTCAGCAGCAAAAGCTAGGAAAACGCCTAGATCAGCAATGGGTGAACTGAGAAGCGGCGTGTTTGGGTCGAGGGCTTCGGGTTCAGCGATGGCCTCGCAGCCCGAGTTGTCTTGGCACCCACATGCTGCAAGATGTTCGGCTGCTAAACCCTTAAACCCTGAGACCAAGCCTGAGACCCTTATACCCTTCATCCGCAATCGAAGCCCTTGGGTTAACGGCCGAAGCTTCGATATGCGTGGATAGCAGTTTGAGTGACGATGAGGGTTCGGGTCCGTTTTTTGGGCAAAGGCTTCCGTAAACCACTGGTTCTCAGTAGGGAAGTAGGTACCACATAGAATCCCTTGACGGAAAATATTTCTATATATAGGGAGCTACAAGATATATATTTCCCAAAAGTATCCTTCAAAGTCTCTTTATATACATATGGGAGTTTTCGAAATTAGGGGTACGTGCCGTACGTACCTGATTGGGGTCCTGATTGTAAGGAGAATCCTACTACAAGGTAGCTAAGTCCCTGATTCCCCACTAAGAACCAGAGGCAAAGTTTCGCCCGGAGGGCCGAGAATCTCAGCCTTGAACGCCCAAAAGCCCGTTTAGAGCTGGGGTTGTGGGTTTAGGGTTTAGGGTCTATAGGGTTTAGGGTTTGGGGTGTAGGGTTTAGGGTTGAGTTCTGAAATGGTCCCCATACCCCTCTAAACCCTGAACTCAAAAAAACACCTCACCACCCTCAAGCCCTAAACCCTAAACCCGAAACACCTAGCCCACAGACACACAGGTTGGCGACGGGCTCTGAAGTCATTGAGAAGTTGCCCTTCGTTGCAGTGGATGAGGAACAGCCGCTTGACTCAGCTTCGGATTCGGGTTGTCTTCTTTCCCTAAGGGGTCTAGCTATGTAGCTACGTAGGCCCTTGATACATGTTAATTTTTCCCTTATTGAGTTTAAGAGGACCATATTTCTTGCAGAGGGTTTGAAGGGTCCATGTACCTACGTAGCATATACTTCGGGCCCTACAACTGCTATGAAGCGCCCCTTTCAGGCCCAAGTAGATACGACAAAAGGTACGTGAACCCTTAGGTCTTCTGGGTTTTCAGCGTTTTCTTAGAACTTCTGGAGCTTAATCGTTGTTTTAGGGTTTAGGGTTTAGGGTTTAGGGTTTAGGGTCAAGGGCTCTGGGAACCTGACTGTGAGGTCCCCGGAAGTAGAGAAGGCCTTGGGTTCCTAGTACCCTGAAACCTCAGCCCCAAAATCCCCAATACCCTAAACCCTAAACCCTAAACCCTAAACCCTAAACCCTAAACCCTAAACCCTAAACCCTAAACCCTAAACCCTAAACCCTAAACCCTAAACCTTGGCTTCCAGGGCTGATGGGTCTTGAAGCCGAAGCCCTCTCCCTCATCTCTCGGTTTCCGGGTTTCGGTTTTAGGGTTCGAGGGTTTAGGGCTTAGGGCTTAGGATTTAGGATTTAGGGTTCAAGGATTTCGGGTTTAGAGTTTAGGTTTCGAAGGTTTAGGGTTACAAGGTTGCAGGGCTTTTCGAAGCCTCCGACTAGTAGCACTTTTTCTGAGGCTCCCAAGAGCTGCCTAAGCACCCAAAGCCCTAAACCCTAAACCTAGACCCTAAACCCTAAACCCTAGATCCTACACCCTAAACCCTGAACCCTAAACCCTAAACCCTAAACCCTAAACCCTAAACCCTAAACCCTGTACATACAGCCCAGGATTGTCTCTTCCACCGGCGCCCTCGATCTGACTCTTGGCCCAGTCCTCTCACACCCGCAGCTGAAAAAAGTCCCCTACTTGGAGGCCCAGGGGACTTAAGAGCCCAATACTACTGTATCTGTACTTAACCCAAGTATAACCATATTAGGGCACTTAAGGGGCTTATAAGTGGTTGTAAGGACAGTTATAAGTACCATGAACCTCCAAGTAGACGCTCAGGGCCTTCAGGCACAAACCTGATGGACCAAAGGAACTCTAAAGGATTTACGGGTTTAGGGTGTAGGGTTCAGGGTTTATATACCCTGAAAGAGATTATAGTAGTATATGGCATATGACCCCAATGTTGGGGTTCGGTCCCTAAGGAAGACCCGAAAGCGCAAGACGTAGACCCTCGAGCGCGTCCAACCCTCAACACACCAAAGGGCCGGTTCTCCAAATGGCCGTCGCTCTTTGCACGCCACGGCGAATTCTATCTGGCGGGGGGGGGGGGGGGGGGGGGCGGGGCAACCCAATCTTCCACAGCTTATGCGAAAAATCGGCATAGGGCTTGCCTAAGCCCTCAACCCTAAAACTTAAGCTAGGCCCTAAACCTTTTTCTACAGCAGACGGGTTGCTGTACGTACCTGTGAGTGCGACGGCCCGTGGGGCATGGGGATGATGTCACCTGTTAGATTGCACCCTGACCGCCTGTGTTTTAGTTCAGGGCTTCAGGGTTTACGGTTAAAGGCTTGTAGGGTCACCAAATACCTGCCAATTGCCAATAGGCCCCTCCACCCACCCCACCCCACCCCCTAGTAAACCCCAAACCTAAAGCTTCCACCCGTTCCGGCCTCCTCCTGCGCGCTCGCGCGCGCCCAGGAAGCAGGTGCCCGAGAAGCTCGTGGTCATCGGTGGAGGTGCCGCTTCCTCAGTGTGGGCAGTGAGTTCAGGCTCGAAACTCTATGTCCCAAAGTCCTGGGGCCCTGTATATGGAGCCCGTGTAAGGTGGAGAGAGAGAGAGCGAGCGAGTGAGGGAGAGAGAGACTCGTCTTAAATCCTACTTGGAGGCTCATGAATGTTGTGAGTACCCTAAACAAGGCTACAGCTATATTCACCATACACTTCTACCCCAACTTGCACGACGCAGCGAACCTCCAAGTATGCGCCTTGAGAACCAACAACCTTACGGCTTCAACATTGGGGACCACATGTAAACGAACCCTAAAATTGGGGGGGGGGGTCATATACCCTATCATCATACAAATTGGAGTTATATAGTTTTCTACCCTGTCATCATACTACTCTATAATCTCTACTAGGGTATATGACCCGTAAAGCCTTTTAGAGGTCATTTGGTCCTTAAGGAAGGGACCCCGCAGACGCCAACCAGCGAAGTAGCTTGAGCTCTTGGCAGCTCCTGAGAGTCCTAAGAGAAACCTCAGCAGCCTTTCCCCCCGCCACCCCCTTTAACCCCGGGCCCAACCCCCACCAAAACAAGCCGCGCCCTACAGCACTCAGCCCTTGTTTCCCTAAACCTCTGGCCCCCTAAACCCCCAAAACCCTAACCTCTGAACTCTAAACCCAACCCCAAAACCCTAGCCCCCAAACCCCTGAACCTCTATCTAAACCGCAAACCCCAAACCCCAAGCCCTAAGCCGTAAACCCAAAGCCCTGACCCCAAACCCCTAACCCTAAAACCTAAACCCCAAACCCCTAAACCCGAGGTTATCGGCCTGGAGCTCGGATCCGTCTATGAGCGCCTGGGCTCCAAAGTCACCGCACCTCGGCTAAACTGAGTCACCCCAAACCTCTTGGACTTGGGGAAGGTTAGGGTTTAGGATTTAGGGGTTAGGGGTTAGGGGTTAGGGTTTAGGGGTTAGGGGTTAGGGGTTTTGGGGGGCTTCTGGAGCTTAACAGGTCACCCCTCCCAACTGCTTGGGGTTTAGGAGCTGAGGCTCCAGGGTTTAGGGTTGATCCAGGTTGTTTTTAGAGTCACCCAACTTCTGGAGGCTTAGGGTTTAGGGTCCGGGTTCAGAGTTCAGAGGTTTAAGGGTTCAGGGTTGAGCCGGGTTCAGGGCTGCTGAGGGTTTAGGGTTTAGGGTTTAGGGTTTAGGGTTTAGGGTTTAGGGTGTGGGGTTGAGGGGCTTAAGGGTTTGGAGTTCTTTGACTGCTTGGGGATTAGAGTTCGGGGGGGGTTCGGGTTGAGTAGGGCTTTAGGTTTTAGGTTCTGGGGTTGACTAGGGGTTGGTCAGGGTCTAGGGTTTAGGGTGTAGGGTTTAGGGTTTAGGGTGCCAGCAGTGAGTCAGTATTTCGGGTCTAGGGCTCAGGCGGGGGGGCCAGGGGTTGAGGAACCTGGGTCTTTAGAACTGGAGGGACTATTGGGGTTGGCGGCTCTATGCGATTACTACCGGGCTCTACAAGCCAGCAATTAGGATTCGGGTTGCAGGTGCTTGGGAATTCGTGTTCAGTGATGAGGGCTCGGGGGTTAATTAGGGTTTAGGGTTTGCGGTTTAGGGTTTAGGGTTTAGGGTTTAGGGTTTAGGGTTTAGGGCTTAGGGTTTAGGGTTTGGGTCTACGCTTTAGGGTTAGCTTGGAGGTTATTGTTGTCTTGCTGGCAGTTTCAGGTGTTTAGGGTGTCTTCGGAGTTGGGGTTGAGGTTAAAGCGTTTTGTCTCATCTCCACCTTGGGCCTATACCCGCAGATATATAGAGCAGCATTATGGAAAACGACTGAAGAGCTTAGCAGCCCAGAGACCTGGTACCAGACTTTTTTGGTGATGTGAAAAACCCTAAACCCTGAACCCTAAACCCTAAACCATAAACACGTACTGAGAATCACAGGCTTGAGATGATCCAGGCTAAGCGTATGATACGTTACGCCATTTGCAATGGTTTCGACAATGTGAAGGCCCAAAACGCCCCCTACAAGGAGGGACCCCGAGCTATAAGTAGAGTTATGAGAGCCCTAAATTGGGTTACAAGGAGCCTAGCTTAGGTTATAAGTCCCTTACTACAATCATCTCGCAACGCCCAACCTAAGCCCTCGACCCTTAGAAAGCCTAATGCGTGAGCCTTAAACAGCGACCACGATCATCCCCTCAAAGTTTAGAGTTTAGGGTTTAGGGTTTAGGGTTTAGTGTTTAGTGTTCAGGGTTTAGGATTTTGGGTTTAGGGTCAAGAGAAGGCTGGTTTAGGGTTTCGGGTAGTTTCGGTTTAATGAGGTCTAGGGTCATTCTTGGTAGCCGAGCGATGGGCTTTTGCATTTTCTTGGTTCGAGTTTCTCTTCTGAAGTAACTTTAGGGTTCAGGGTTTCAGGGCAGTTTAGGGTTTGGGGCTTAGGGTCGTTTAGGGTTTAGGGCTAGTTTTTAGGATTTAGGTCTCAGGGTTTGGGGTTTAGGGTTTAGGGTCATTCAATAGAACCCCCCCCCCCCCCCCCTACATCTTCCCTCCGACAGAGGTTGTCGAGTTCCTTCCGACCATTGGAGGCCTTACGCCTGCTTAGTGTTTGTTTTTTTTTGTTTGGGGGCGGGGGTGGGAGTTAGGGTTTAGGGTTTGGGGTTTGGGGTTTAGGGTTTAGGGTTTCGGGTCTTCAGGGTTCAACCCCTACCCTAAACAGGGAAGAAACCTTAAAGCCCTTAGGGGGCGTTCAACCGCTCGAGCCCCTACTGCTCTAACGCGCCCCTACCCCGAACAAAAAAAGAAACTTGGACTGGACCTGCCCAAAACCCTAAACCCTAGCTTATTCGACCGAACCAAGGGGGTGTTAAGACTTCATGGTCCGTCGGGTGCGCGAATGGGTTTAGGTTTTAGAGCTAAACCCTTATACCTCAACCCTAAAGGCTCAATAAACCCCAAGCCCAACCCCAACTCTCAAACCCTCAATCCCAAAACGTAAGCCCGAACCCTAACCCCATTCCCCCTACCCCAGCCCCCAAACCCTAAACCCCAAACCCCAAACCCATTTAGAACCCTAAACCCCAAACCCCCATCGCATCCCCCAAACTCTGAACCTCCAGCCTGCTTTGCCAGATCCCTAAGTGCACGATAGTAGCCCTGAACTTGTTTTGGAGGTCCTAAACCCTAAACCCTAAACCCTAAACCTTAAACCCTAAACCCTAAAGCCTAAAGCCTAAACCCTAAACCCTAAGGGTCTGCGAGAGAACCGCATTTGCCGTGCATTGTACAGCTATGCAGATGCCAATGGGGTTGTACAGGTGCTCATGACATCGCATGTGGATGATCTGTTATGGGCATGTGATCCGTGCTCTGACTGGATCATTCAGGACCTGATCTAGACCTTTAAGTGTGGGTCCGTTGAGACAGGCAGCTTCCGCTACCGCGGCAAAGAGATCCGACAGGATGAGGGCGTTTAGGGTTTAGGGTTTTAGGGTTTAGGGTTTTAGGGTTTAGGGTTTAGGGCTTAGGGTTTAACATCTTTGTCACAGTCACATGCAGTGACACCACTAGGGGAACTCGGAAGATCCCCGATTATGCCCAAGAGACATCCGGCAGATCCGATGACGGACTCACACAAGGGGGTTAGGGGTTTAGGGTTTTAGGAGGGTTTAGGGTACTAGCCCTAAACCCTAAACCCTAAACCCTGAACCCTCAACCCTCAACCCTCAACCCTCAACCCTCAACCCTAAACCCTAAACCCTAAACCCTAAACCGCATCCAGGCGTCGGCATCGATGGCGAGGTGTCCAAGGAGATGCAGAAGATTCTGCAGCTCGTCCTGTGAGTAGGGTTTATTAGGGTTTTAGGGCTTAGGGTTAGGGTTTAGGCTTAGGGTTTACGGTTTAGGGTTTAGGGGTTACAAGGATGGGCCACTTTACTATGCTAACTGTAGTTAAGGGACTTGTGACCAAAGTTATTAATTAGACTTGAAACCCAATTTAGGATCCTTCGTTCTACTTATTAACAGGGGGGGGGGGGGGGGGGGGGGGGCGGGGGCTCCTTGTCGCAAGATTATTTTGTCCACAGTTGCCCCAATCGCTACAAAGAAGAGCCCCTTGAATGGGGATGATCTCCCCACACATGAAAAGGAAAACCCCCGCAACAAAAAGAGAGGCACGGGCCTACCTTAGAATGCTCTGCCCGCCGCCCATTCGCCGTTGCTGCCTATTATGAAACTAGGGTGGCCAACCTCCAAATCCAAGAAGCAGCTTGCTTGAGGCTTGAGGGACCTTTTCGTTCGAAGGGTGTATTTCGAGGAGTGGCTATAAGGTATATAGCTATATTGGTTCAACTATTTTCTAGGATGCCTAGTAGTGCCCTTATTCCCTTTTTTGGGGGGGTTCTTGTTCCTTTATCACCCTCTAGGCAAAACAACAAAATGCACCTTTGTAATCCTAAACCTTAAACCCTAAACCGTAAACTGCCGTGTTACGCACTTCCACAGACGTGTCGTCTCCGACAAGTACTTATCTCCCAGAGGTTGTTGCGGAAGGCCATCCCTCCCGGGAAGCGATGCAGTCGGTAATTGAGCTTGCACCCCGCTGAACCTCTGGAGAAGCCTTGGTCACTGCACGCGTGGTGCACTTCCACGCCTAACCTTGACAAAAGCAGATTGCGGCTGACACTTGGCGCCTCATCATCATCATCATCATCATCATCATTATCATCATCATCATCATCATCATCATCACGCCTTGCCGTCGACACTCTTGCAAAGCTCCTTCAGGTCTCTCTGGGCCATCCACTCCCAAACTCTGCGTCAAACCACTCCGCATCCGGTGTACGTCTGCCTCGGGGTCCTATAGGCTCGCGGGCGGAGTTTTCTGCTTAGCAACGGGTGGATCCCGTTCTCCACCTTGCTTGTTCGCCACATGACCCGAAGCACTAAGCCATGTCAACCCTAAACTCCTGAACCCCTAAACCCTTAAACCCTAAACCCCTAAACCCTAAACCCCAAACCCCCCAACAAGTCTCCTCCTCATCGGCCCCCCACAGCAAGGAAGAAGCAGGGCATGGACTTCAAGATGTCGACCAAGGCCGAAGCCCCAAAGCAGCTCTGAACTTTGGGTTTAGGGTTTACTTGGTCATGGTTTGGGTAATATTTTACATTTTTAAGGGCACTTAAACCCAATAAGGAGTAGAAACTTCAATTTTTGATACGATCGCAACCATGAACTAGTTTAGGGTTTCGGGTTGGCATTGCTTTAAGGTTTTACAGTTAGTAGGGTCAGTAGGGTCAGCCGTTTGGTCTGCATGTGGGGGGGTGTGGGGGGCCTGATTCAAGGCTGAGAGCTTGCACTTGACGGCCTTCACCCAGAAACAATGTGGGGGTTTACGATAGTAGGGCTTAGGGTTTAGGGTACATTAATGGGGTTCTTTTTATAAGAGATCCTACTCTTTGGGGTCTATATTAGGGGTCCCCTATTTTCGTAAACTCCCATATATGGGGTCCTTTCAAGCAGTTGCAGGGCTTCTTTTTCCTAAGCAGCAAAAAGTCACTATGGCATTTTTGGCAACGAGGTGACAGCCGTGGAGAAGACTGGCAGCACGGTCAAGGTGCGCTCGGGACTTTTTACTCTTACGGTTTGGGGGTTTAGCCCCAAACCCCACACCTTAATCCCAAAACCGCAAGTCCTGATAAACCCTAGACCTTAGACCCTAAAACCCTTTCAACCCTTAAACACCTAAACCTAAACCCCTCAACCACTCAACCCCTGAACCCTAAACCCCGAAGCCGCGAAGTTGAAGACTAGTACCCATATTCATTTTTGTCGGGCTACGGTCCCTGTTGGGCCTCATTAAATAAACGGGGGTACCCCTTACTCTTAGGTTACCGGGAAAGCCGGTGTGTGTGGTTTAGTTGGGGTTGGGGTTTAGCGTTTAGGATGTACAGTTTGGGGTTTAGGGTTTCGGGGTTAATGTGTCGCAAACCTCTAAACCCTATAGCTCTACACCCCTAATCCAAAACCTAAACCCCTAACCCCCTAAACCCCGAAACTTAAACCCTAAACCCCCAAACCCTAAACCCTAAACCCTAGCCCTAGACTCTAAACCCCAAACCCTAAACCCTAAACCCTAAGCCCTAAATTCTAAGTCCTAAGCCCTAAACCCTAAACCCTAAACCCGAGCCCTAAACCCTAAACCCCAAACCCATCATGAAACAAAATGCGGGGGGTGCGCGCAGGTCACGACGGAGCCGGCCGCTGGCGGGGCGGCAGAGAGCATGGCTCTGGCCCTCAGCGTTCTTTGGGGACTCCGAGGTTGACATGGTTTAGGGTTTAGGGTTTAGGGTTTAGGGCTTAGGGTTTAGGGTTTAGGGTCTCGGATCACTAGTGGTTTAGGGTTATGGGGTTATAGGCTTACAGGGCTATAGAGTTGCAGCTTGATAGAGTTACAGGTTATAGGGTTAATCCCTTCCCCTAATACTACCCCCCCCCCCCCCCCCTTAACTCCAAATGTCGCCTCGGCCGGAAACTATTTAAAATTAGGGCGGGCCTAAAACTTAAAGCCTTACATCCGAAGCCTAACCCTAATCCTCTGATTATTCCCTCTAAGGCTTGATCCCAAAACCGGCACCCTCTGCACCTTCAGCCCTAAAAATTTGAAACCTTAATGGCTCAACTCAAGGGCGGATGCACTCAACCCCCCCCCCCCCCCCCACTCCCCCCCTAATTCTCAAACAGGTTTAGTATTGGGCTGGGTGCCGGGAGGGTTCGCGAAACATAGCAATTGAATTTCTGGTTGGGGTTTAGTATTAGGGGGAAGCTTTTATAAGCTTTAGGGTTCAGTATGGAGTTTAAGGGCTACCCCCCCCTCCCCCCCCCCAAAAAAAAAAGCAATTCAAATAACAAAAGAAGGTGCCTCAAAAAAACAAAACACGAAATGTGCCGCATTAGCCCTCGTTAGCGTTGCCTGAGTTTGTTAGGCGGAGGTAGCTTCTTGGGTGTAGGCAACATAGGTTTGGTTCTCCAGCCGCCACCTTCTCAACTTCAAATCCCAAACCCCTGAAAATCCTCTTAAAACCCTCTTAAGCCCTCAATCTCTTAACAACCCTCTTGAAGCCCTCTAAAACTCCAAACCCTCTGAATTCCCTCGATCTTGAACCGCAGAGGAAGCCAACGTGGTCCTTGTTTGCGTGGGCCGCCGGGAGTTCCGCCGAAGCCCTGGACCTTCTTTTAAGGCTCAGAACTACAGGGATTTAGGTTTACGGGTATTTCCCTAAACCCTAAACCCTAAACCCTAAACCCTAAACCCTAAACCCTAAACGTTTATACAAGGTTTAGGGTCAAGGGTCTGAGGGTTTTAGGGTTTACAAGGCTCAGAACCTGTGCAGTATACCGGGGTTTGGGGGTTTAGGGGTTCTTGTTGGGGGGTATCTACAAGGTTTAGGGTCTAGGGTCTTAGGGCTTTAGGGCTTAGATGTTTAAGGGTTGAAGAGCTGGAGGGCTCAAAGGGGTTTAAGGGTTTCAAGGGTTTCAAGGCTTCAAGCTTTGTTGGTTTAAGGGTTGCAGGCTTTAGCGTTTGAGGGTTTCAGGTTTAAGGGTTTCAGGGTTTAAGAGTTTCAGGGTTTAAGGGTTTGAGGCCTTCAAGGGTTTCAAGGGTTTAAGGGTTCTTAGTTTTTGAGGATTCAAGGGTTTAGGGTTTAGGGATTCACAGGTGGGTTAGAAGTGCCCTAAATGAGCTTCTAGCTATAACTACCACGCGTTCTTCTACCCCTACTTACAACTACCCACGAACCTCCAAGTATATATATATATAGGGATTAGGAATGCTTAGGTTTACAGTTTAAGGGTTGAACTTAGAAATACTGAAGGCTTTCGGGGCTCATGGTTTTAGGTTAGGGTTGAATTAGGGTTTTAGTAGGTTTGGAGTTGTATGTTGGAAATTATGGGGTTCAGTGTTGGCTTTTGGTTTGGGGGGTCTAAGGTTCAAAGGTTTTGGGTTCAGGCGTTTAGCGTATGGGGGACTTAGGGGTTTTCAGGTTTACGGACTCGGGGGCTGCTAGGCTTTATGGGATTACAAGGAGGGGACCCCGATAAGTAACAGCGTTATAGCAACGACCCTAGAATGGATTGTAAGGCTCCGTCAGAAGTCCCTGAACTACTTATAAGGGTTCTTAAGGGCGGGGGGTTCAAAGGGAGTAGGTACCTAGGGAACCTTAGGGAAGCTTGGGGAGCCCTAGGGAGTAGTGGGGAGTACTAGGGAACCTTGGGCTACATACGCCCCTAAACCCTAAACCCTAAACCCTAAACCCTAAACCCTAAACCCTAAACCCTAAACCCTAAACCTTCTTGTTGTGGGTTTGAGGAATTACGGGGTTTGCTGCAGTAGGGTACCTTGAGAGAGCAGCCCATTGCTGGTTACTCTAGACTCGAAGGAACGGATGCTTTAAAATGAATAGAGACACACAGACACCCCCCCCCCCCCCCCCCCCCACCCTCCCCTGAGGATTTAGGGTTTAGGGTATAGGGTTTAGGGTGAAGGGTGTAGGGTTTAGGGTTTAGGGGGTTTAGGTTCAGGGTTTAGATAATGATAAGAGAATTCCATACACCCCAAACCGTCATCCCAGAAGCCCTGAGCCGGGAACCCTATAATTAGGCCCTACGCCTCCATGCTTGCACGCGAACGGTACGACAAATATCATCTCTCGGAGCGGTGGTGAGTTGGGTGTGTCTATATGTTTGGTGCCTTTGGGGGCTCAGAAGACTTGGTATACAACTCCCCAAGCCTAAACCCTAGACCCCAAATCCTAAACCCAAACCCCAAATCCTAAACCCTAAGCCCCAGACCCTAAACCCTAAACCCCAAACCCTAAACCCTACACCCTTCCTCGGCTCGGGCGGTTCCCAGGTGACGGCCTGGGTGCCGAGGAGGTCGGTGTGGCCTTGGAGGGCAAGAAGGTGAAGGCAGGGCCGGGTTTAGGGTTTGGGGTTTGGGGTTTAGGGTTTAGGGTTTGGGGTTTAGGGTTTAGGGTTTGGGGTTTAGGGTTTAGGGTTTATAGGTTTAGGATTTAGGAGTTTAGGAGGAGCTATGTGTAGGGTAAATAGTTGCTTTGGTGTAGCGGAACGAAGTTTGGCTTTCATAGGTTGGTCTTTGTGGGATATTTAAATATTGTCCTGATTTGGGTGTATGAGGGACGCCACATGTACCTGATTGCAGGAGTTTGGGTATGGTGCTATAGCCTGAGGCGTTTTGCACTCTAAAACCCCTACTACGGATAAGGGTTAGGGGTTACGGGTTTAGGGTCACAAGCTGCGTGACCGCACTCACAAGGAGGGGGCCCCTAGTTATAAGTAGAGGCATAAGGATCCTAAGTTGGGTTATACGGAGCCTAACTTAGCATATTATACGTCCCTTAACTGTAGTTAGTATAGTAAGGGGGCACTTCATTGCAGCAGGTCAACGACGACTTCCAGACCTCGGTTCCTTCCATCTACGCCACCTGGCAGTTGGTTCACAGATGGTCCGTCGGTAGCGCGATTCTGGAAGCAGGTGCCCTAATCCCCTAAACCCCAAGCCCCTAAACCCCAAACCCTAAACCCTAAACCCCAATCCCTAAACCCTAAACTCTAAACCCTAAACCCTAAACGATAGGTGCTGTGGCGACCCTATTCCGACCCCCAGCACTTCCCATGTTCTGGGACTGCCGCTCCCCTATTCAGAAACCCAAGAAGCAACATGGGGCACCCTTTCAACTCCTGGGGTTCCTGGCTAACCCTAAACCCTAAACCCTAACTCCTGGAAACCTTGGGCACTTTTCCAGGGTTCGGGGCCTTGCAAAAAAGCAAGAAACAGAACTCGGCAGGCTTCGCAAGGGCTTTCGAGCTTGCGTGAGTCCCTCGGAAAATCAGGCTATCGGCGACATCATCCACGGCCCGATGTTGGCGCACAAGGCCTTTGTCTTCGGTCTAGAGGATAGCCTCGGCCCTCAACCCTCAACCTCGTCGAATGTGCGATCACCCTAAACGAACTAACACTGAGCCCTACATCTACTCCAAGCCCTAAACCCTAAACACTAAACCCTAAATCTACTCAAAGCTCGAACCTGCTGCAAAGCTCAGAGCCTTGCCGGAGCCTGGCACTGGAGCGCAAGATCTTCTGTAGGATCCGTGCGCACGCATCTCGTAAAACCAAATTAGCAAGCAAGATCCAAGAGCACAAGGCGCTTCTAGAAGAGCCCCGCCTTCATCCCTAACACCCCCAAGTCCAATAAACCCACCTAGACCCCTATATCCCCGTGATCCGAAAGCCCTAAACGCTGGTTCACCCCCATTCCGCCTTCAGGCTGAAGACGAGGGCGCAATGGTTGCCGAGCAGCTTGGCTTTCTTGGGGAGGGAGGGTTGAGTGTTGTGGTTTAGGGCCGTTTGGGTTTTGGATGGTCAGCCTAACCTGAGATTCAGGGGTTTGGGGCGTGTTTTGGGTGGTTGGGGGGGGCTTCAAGTTTGGGGTTAAGGATAGGGATTTTGGGGTAATGCTCAAACTTCGCGCTCAATTTTTGGGGGGCTATAATTTGCGCTCGTCTCAAACCCTGTACCCCCCATTCTAAGCGTGAGGTCGTTTCCCAAGACTGCAGCCGCGGTAACCAAGGTACTTGGCCACTGGCAAGAAGCCCCACCTCGACTACAACAACGTGCCTTGGCGAAACCTCTGATTTTTCAGGAGGGGGTTTGAGCTTGGCACTGAAAATTCAGAACTGGGACCCCCAATGGTAGGGTTTAGGGTTCAGGGTTTAGGAGCTTACAGTAAAGGGTAAAGGGGAAAGGGTACAGGGTCAAGGGTCAAGCGTAAAGGGTAAGGGGTGAAGGGTAGCACCTGTTTAGGCAGTATAGATTCCCTTTCTACGCCTGACTCATCACAAGCACCTGAGCCCTCTTGAATTCTAGGGGCAGTGGGGAAGCTAGGACAAAGTCGGTACGCGGCATGGCAGAAATCAGTGGAACACCCCCCCATACGAAGGGTTTTGGCTTGTTGGGGTCCCGACACCCCATACGAAGGGTTTTGGCTTGTTGGGGTCAGGGGTGCACGATTAGGTGTGATTCGGGCTGCGGGCGTTTCGTGGTCGAAGTGGCTACGGGAAGGCTCAGGGGCTTCGGATCACCCTTAAATCCTCTACAGCAACGCAGTATCCCTCAACCATAGTGTATTGTACGATACTCCAGCATACTTTTACTTACTAGAGCATATCACACCACGATATGCTAGAGGCTGCTAGAATGCACCATAATGTACTATTCACTGTACCGCTATTCTAAAAACTCACAAAATGTAAGATTATGGTCCCTATATGCCCTTATAAGGAGGAACATAAATATGTGTTACTTCTTGGTTGTTCTTCAGCAAAATTTAGTATAAGCACGCGCAAACCTGTGCCCCATTCCCGAACGCCTGAACAACGGCGAAAGCGTGAGGGGTTTTGCAGGTGCCCTCCGTGCTCTACACACACCCAGAGGTGCCCACGCTTGGTGACTTCCGGTTTAGGGCTTAGGGTTTAGGGTTTAGGGCTTAGGGCTTAGGGCTTAGGGTTCAGGGGTTCTGATGCGGAGAGATCTAGATGAGCATCCAAAAACGGGAGTTTGGGGCTTAGGGCCACCCTGTTTAACCCCCCCCCCCCAAGCATTTGTTGTTCATACTACTGCCCCACAACAAGGTATCCATAGTTTGTGAACCTAAAATCCCAACCCCCCAGATTGATTTGAGCGTGAGTCTAAGCCGCATCAGGCTTAGGGTTTAGGGTTTTAGGTTCCTGAAGAACCCTTTAAGGAGTTAATCTTATTCACCCATATAACCCCCAGATATATCCCTAAAGAACCCCTACGTAAGGTCCCTTCTTTAGTCCCTGAAAAGACCCTAAACCCTAAGCCCTCAACCCTGAACAGACCCAGCTCGCCTGTGCTTCCCTTCAGGTTGCCTGGGTTGGGAAGACCGAAGAGCAGCTGAAAGCAGAAGGCCCGGGGGGGGAGTTTGCTGGGCAGGTTTGCCCTACATCCCTCACCTAAAGTTACCCTAAACCCCACCTACACCCCTCAAACTCCTTAAGCCGTAAACCCGAAATCTTAAACCCTAAGCCCTAAGCCCTAAACCGTAAAACCCTAGACCCTAGCCCTAAACCCTAAGCCCCCAAACCCAGGTGCTTCGACGTGGATGTTTTTCGCTTCTCCCTCGCAATCCCGGAACTCTAGGTCCTAAGGTGGACGCCGCCCGCCCGAGTCCTGAAATAAGAGGTTTAGGGTTTAGGGTTTAGGGTTTAGGGTTTAGGGTTTAGGGTTTAGGGTTTAGGGTTAGGGTTTAGGGTTTAGGGTTTGGGGATCATGATCTCAGCATCGAAGAACTCGCTTGGCTTTAGTTCTCATTGAGAGCCAGACACGGTTGAGGAACATGTCTGGTCCACCTCGGATGCTGGCAAGTGCAACTGGAACCTACGCATCATTACTTCTCCTTAGTCTTTGCCGGCGCTCTTGCAAAGAAACTGCAAACACCTCCTTGTGGACCGTTTGCGGGTCGGCCTCTGCATATTACCCCTTCTTGGGTGTAAGAGGATCATGTTCAGAAATGTGTTCAGTGCCTTTCAGGGGCCAGGGTTTGGGGGTTAAAGGTTTTGCGTCGGTGTTGTGGCGGATTTTGCCTGCAGGGTTGCTTACGCTCGACTTAGGAGACTAGAGTGGTAGGCGGCTAGGCAAACCCCAACCCCCCCCCCCCCCAACCCCTAAACCCCAAACCCTATAAACCCTATAAACCCTATAAACCCTATAAACCCTATAAGCCCTATAAACCCTATAAACCCTATAAACCCAATAAACCCGAATAACCCTAAACCCTAAACCCTAAATCGTCTAAATCCTAAACCCTAAGCTGGGCCAGGTGTTGCCTTCCGCAAGGGGAAGTTCTCCTTTGCCGCCAACGGCCGCTCAATCGCCAACATGGACACCGAGGGCTTCGTCAAGGCACCGTAGGGTTCTGGGGTTTAGGGGTTTAGGGGTTTAGGGTTTAGGGTTCAGGGTCTTAGGGTCTTAGGGTCTTATTGTCCTATGTAAGCAAGCACCGGCTCAAATCGTTTTAGGGTTTAGGGTTTAGGGTCTGAGAGCCTTATGTAAAGCATGCACCGGGTGATACCATGGAGCAAGCAGCCTGGGACAAAAAGCCACCGGAGAAGAGACCGCCCAAGCTCATCTCTGTGAGTCGAACAACACAGCTCTTGAACCCTGAGCCCCAACTCCCCAACTCCAACGCGCCTCGATGTCGACGATTCGCCATGAACCCTCAACCCTACTTGGAGGTTCATGGTACTTTTGACCCAATTCTAATTGTACTTCTAACCCACGTATAAGTCCTTTAAGTGCCTTAATGTGTCTACAATTGGGCTATAAGTACAGCTATAATTGGGTTCTTAAGTTCCATGACTCAATGACCCCTCAACCACCGAACCCTCAAACCTCAAACAAGCGGAATGGGCCTCAGCAGGTTCTGTCCTGCAAGGAGACAGACAAGTTGCTTGGAGCTTCTTGGCGTGGACCCCTAAAAACCCAAAAGCCTGTAACCCTAAAACCCTAAACCCTAAAACCATAAACCCCCAAAGCCTATAAACCCAAACCCCTAAACCCAAAGCCCGGGTCTGGAGTTTAGGGTTATATTTCGGGTTTAGGCCTAGCTTATGGTTTAGGTTATGAGCTTCTTAAGTCAACTATAGTATAAGGGGGCCCCTCCTTGTAAGGGTAAACAGGGTTGAGGGTCCGATTTGTGGGTCTCGGGTTTAAGGCTTAGGGCTTAGGGCTTAGGGTTTAGGGTTTAGGGTTAATTTGGGGGAACAGGGGGTTTCGTCGTTTCGGGCTTTACTAGTATTTGGGGTTCAGATATTGGGAATAAAAGCATTTTCATGGTTTAGGGTTATATTTCGGGTTTAGTTGTTCACGGTGTCAGGATTTAGGGGTTTGGGGGTTTGGGTCCGAGGACATCTTCGGGGTTTTAGGGTTGAGGGTGTTGCTTGATTCGTGCTTTGAAGGCTTTAGGGTTGTGAGGAGCTGTCTTGCTGTACAGGGTGTGTGGGTTGTGGAGGACCCTAAACCCTAAACCCTAAACCCTAAGCCCTAAGCCCTAAACCCTAAACCCTAAACCCTAAACCCTAAACCCTAAACCCTAACCCTAAACCCGAGGGTTTGGGGGGATTTCAGGGGCCCTGAAGGAGGCTCCCGGAGTGTTGTACAAGTTCGGTGCTGTGCAAAGTAAGTGTGTGCATGCAGTGCTTACAAGACACGAAGCCCTGCACCCTAAACCTGTTTTTGAGCCCTTCAGGCTTCTTCGGGGATTACAGGCCTTTTCCCCTAAACCCCAAACCCCAAACCCCAAACCCTAAACCCTAAACCACAAACCCCAAACCCTAATTCAACCTAAACCCTAAACCCTAAACCCTAAACCTGAAGAGCAATGGAGGGTCCATGCCTGAAAGCTCAAACCAGGTCCACATCATCAACGCTATCGCTGGCGACATCATCAGCACCTTGCATGCAGGGTGTACAGGGATGAAGGCTTACCGGAGTTTAGGTTTTACAGTTTAGGGTTTAGGGTTTGTAACTGAAACCCCAAACCCTGTGAACCGCTTCCCTAAACCCTAAACCCTAACCCTAAACCCTAAACGGTTGAACGAACACAGGTGCAGGGTTCGTCGGGCAGGGCTTTTGCAGGGGTGGGACAAAGACGTGGAGGACTCGCCACCAGGGGGGTTGCTCGGTGCAAACCCCTGGCTTGACTGATTTAGGGTTTAGGGTTTAGGGTTTTGGCTTTCGGGTTTAGGGTATAGGGTTTAGGGTTCGAGTAGGGCGCCTAGCAGCTTTGGTGCCCGCACTTTGGCGAAGCGTAGCACTGGCTCTCACCACAGGAGGCGACTGTCGGCCTACCCAAAACCCTCCTGTGCCGGGTCTGCGCAAAGTCGGCACCAGAGCGCCCGTTTTTAGCACAAGAAAGCTGAGCAGTTACCACCAGTAAAGCTCCTGGCGCCTGAAACGCACAAGGCCTAAATTGGGCTCAGCTTTGTTCTCGCTTTCCCGGGTTTAGGAAATTTTCTACCTGGCATTTCACAGCTCCGAGTGGGATTATAGTTTGTGTGCTGGGTGCTGGCGAGGGGGGGGGGAAGGGTTAGGGTGTGGCCCTTGCCTTGGGGACGAAGCAAAATTTAAGATTGAAGCTTGACATATATATGTTGCCCTAACATTGAGGTGCATGCTGGGTCTTGGGGACCTTTCATGTGGCTCAGGTACAAGAAAGCACAGTACTTCTGAAGGGGAGCTGGAAGATTATCCCGCTGTGAGTCCGGCTGTTTGAACAAAGTGCGGGCCTCCGAACAAATTTAGGGTCAAGCGTTGCCCGAAACCCTAACCCCCAAACCCTAAACCCCAAACCCTACACTGCCACGACACCCTGAGGTGGAGCTTGCATTGGCATTGAGTACGGTGCGGCCTCTGAGGCATCGCCTGGCGCTGGGGTTCAGGGTTTTGGGTTGAGGGTTTAGGGTTTAAGAGTTAGGAGGGCTCTTGGGGCTTGGGGTGCTCTGACGAAACGGTCCCCCAAAAGGGGGGGGGGGTGTTCGCGAAGTAATTCGAGGGCTTCGGGCTCCTGGATCTTAGAGCCAGGACTGTTGTATGTTGTAGGTTGGGTCCATTTTGTGCTGGGACCTTCTCTCAGGAAGCTAGCTATGGAGACCATTATTGTTCCGTTGGGGCCTGTTGCATCATGGAAAATCGCCGGGGTGTTAGGTGTTGACATTGTATCTCGGACGAATCCCGATTACCACTTAGGGTCTAAACCCCGAAACTCAGGGCTCGGGGAGTTTACATCCTCAAGCCCCCAAAATCCCAAACCCTACGCCTTAAATCAGCTCTCAGCCCCCTAAACCCTAAACCCTAAACCCCAAACCCTAGGCCCTAAACCTTAAACCCTACCGCGCCATTTCGGCCAGGACTTGGCCCGAGTCTGCATGGCGCACCCGACGGTCTCGGAGGCTCCGGCTTCCCTGGGTTTGGCTCATGGGGTGTTTTTGGGCTTAAGGTCCTTAAACCCTATAGCCCTAAACCCTAAACCCTAAACCCTAAACCCTAAACCCTAAACCCTAAACCCTAAACCCTAAACCCTAAACCCTAAACCCTTAACCCTAAACCCTAAACCCTAAACCCTAAACCCTAGCCCTAAAGCCTAAACCCTAAGCTCTAAGCCCGAAGCCCTAAGCCCTGTAAACGACGGCTCCTGGAGCATGGGGGTGGTAGGCACAGGCTTCAGTTTCCAGAGCAAGGATGTGTTAGGGTTTGGGGTTTAGGGTTTAGGGTTTAGGGCTAGGGTTTAGGGTTGAGGGGAGGATGATGGCTGCCAATTCCTGCAGGTCCTGAAGGGCGCCTCCCAGAAAACCGCTTTCGGCAAGGCCGTGAGTGGCTAAGCGAGGCCAGGCGGCTAGGGTTTAGGGTTTGGGGTTTGGGGTTTGGGGTGGGTTTTAGGGTTTTAGGGTTTAGGGTTTAGGGTTTCGGGTTTAGGGTTTAGGGTTTAGGGGTAGGGTTTTTAGGGTTTAGGGTTAGGGCCTGTGAGGTTTAGAGTTTGGCTTGGAGGGTGCAGGGCCTTTGGGGTGCAGGGTTCTGGGTGGGCCTTTAAGAAATTCCCATATCAATTCTCCCTTATTGGGATAAAGAGGATCATATTGTGAATATTTTCAGAGGGTTTTCAGGGCCATTCAAGGGTTTAGGCTTGTGGGTTCAGGTTTTCAGGGCTTGGGGGAGACTGATAGCACTTCATGACACCATATCCAGGACGCCCGGTAGTACCCTTGTTCCCCCCTGACCCCCTGATAATACCTCGTTTGTCCAAGAAAGGTTATGGAACCCCAAACCATGAACCCTCTTTTTTTCGAATTCTGCCCGCGGCACCTGGAGCATAACCCTAAACCCTACATCCCAAAGCCCAAGCCCCAAACCCCAAAACCCCAAGCCCCAAAACCCCAAAACCCGGACCCAAAGTCGGCTCCAGAGGGTGCTGCTATAAAGAGCGGAGGTGTGTTGGGACCCGGGTGTTGCCAATTTAGGCTTGCGAGTTTTTGGGTTCAGGCTGGTGGGTTCAGGGTTTCGTGTTCAGTTGGGCTTGAGGGTTTAGGGCCGACAGTTCTGGGTCCGCGATGACAGTAGGGTTTTGGCCTTTGGTAGTTGGCTACTGGTTTAGGGTGCGCTCTGGTCCGGGATTTAAAAACATTCTGGGCTTCGGGCTTCGGGGCTTTTCTGGCTTGTTTGATGGTTGAGGCTTTACGGTTTTGGGGGGTGCAATCTCAGAAACATTCAACGTTGAGAACAGTACTTTGCAGAATTCGCACACATGATCTCAGGAGTCATGCATGGATCTCAAGTATTAGCAGCGCGGCGTCAGCAGCTTTCCGGGAATGCTTGCCTGGACTTGTCGAGTATTGGCGCCAAACCCCTAAACCCTAAAGCCTACGCCCGAAGCCCTTAGCAGCCCCAAGCCCTTAGCCTTGTAAATCCCCTAAGCCCTAAGCCGCAAACTCTTCTCAGATTTTTGGGCTCTAAACATGTTAGGGTTTAGGGCTTAGCGCTCGCATGGCCGCACGCAGGTCAGTGGAGATGTAGGTCTGAAGGGGGCCTTGGACAGAGTGGATAGAGGAACACGATTGTGGGAGGGTGCAGACGTGAGTCTTTGTCATGGTTGGGTAACATTTTACAATTTTAAGGGTACTTAAACCCAATAAGGAAGAACAATTTAAATTTTTAATACTATCTCAGCCATGAACTAGGAATGACGTAAACACAGGAAGTGGGGTTTAGGTTGGTGGCTTTAGGGTTTGGGGGGTGGGTTTGGGGTCTATGGGGTCTTAGGGCTTAGTGTTGAGGAGCATGTTTTTGCACAGCTACCGTGTAAATTGAATCGTTTTAGGCCTAAGATTTTGGGGGCATTGAGGGTTTAGAGAGTTTAGGGCGTTTGGAAGTTTAGGGTTTCCGGTTTAAGGGCTTCAGGCCTCTGTGGTTTGGTGGGCTTAGTGTAGAGCCTTCATTGTTCTCCAAGCCCCCCCCCCCCCCCCCCCCCCCAATCCCCGCCCCGCCCTTCCCAACCCTAAACCTCAAAACCAAAATCGTGTAAGGTTTAGGGTTTAATTTAGGGTAAGCAATGGTAGACTGCAGCATCTCGAAGCTAGCAGAAATACCTCGATCATTCCGTGTTCCGCTCCGGTAGCATTATGTACCGTAGTGGCTCACGCTAGTCACAGTCCGAAACGGACAGCATCGTTTTGATTGTGCAGAGCTCTGTGTTTGAGTTCGTAAATTCCTTGCAAAGTTGCAACAAGTGATTGAGCAGGAGCCAGTCCGACAAAGTTTGCCCGTGCTTGCAGGGCAATGTTGCTAGGCCTTGCCTCACTGCTGCAAGCATCCAGCAGAGAAGTAGACCCCTTGTAGATGTAGATATTGAAGCCGCAACTTGAGCTGATGTATGGTATAAGCACCCTTAGCCAAGGTTAGCAATGCTTCCCTGAACCCTAAACCCTAAACCCTAAACCCTAAACCCTAAACCCTAAACCCTAAACCCTAAACCCTAAACCCTAAACCCTAGTTAGAACAGTTCAGTGCCCGTAGTTTGCTCAGAAGCATCCGAAGAATCCCGACTCCCAACCTGAACCCTAAACCCTAAACCCTAAACCCTAAACCCTCGGCCATTGCAGCTGCCGAAACCCATGCAGCCTGGAACCCCAAACCCCAAACCCCCGAAACCCGTCCAAATCAAGCCGCGAAGCCGGATTTAGGGTTTAGGGTTTAGGGTGTAGGGTTTAGGGTTTAGGGTTTAGGGTTTAGGGTTTAGGGTTTATGTAGGGCCTTCAATCCGTGACTCAGAGATGCCTCACGATTAGAGATGGAGGGACAGTACGAACACCCTTGCAGTGGTACGCTTCTGTTGTGTTGTTGTAACAATGTCCCGATCTGTGAAAACTCCAGTCTACTTAGTCTAGTTGCGTGGGAGGTTTTGGATTACAAAATCTAGGGTTCTTGTTTAGGTATGCAGACAACTAGTAGGTTTGCAATTCTCAAGGGGGTCTGGAATCCTAGACCTGAGCACCCCCCAATGATTCAAAGGCTTTCGGGTTGAAGCCTCAACCCTCTTGAGCCCTTTAGGTCCTTCGTTTCTTACACCCTCAACCCTGAAACCCTGAAGCCCTAAACCCTCAAACCCTGCAACCCTGAAACCCTGAAGCCAAAACCCTGAAACCCCGAAACCCTATACCCTCAAACTTTGAAACCCTGAAACCCTGAAGCCAAAACCCCGAAACCCTAAACCCTCAAACCCTGAAACCCTGAAGCCTAAACCCTGAAACCCCAAAACCCTAAACCCTCAAACCCTGCAACCCTGAAACCCTGAAGCCAAAACCCTGAAACCCCGAAACCCTAAACCCTCAAACTTTGAAACCCTGAAACCCTGAAGCCTAAACCCCGAAACCCCGAAACCCTAAACCCTCAAACCCTGCAACCCTGCCTAAACCCCGAAACCCTAAACCCTCAAACCCTGCAACCCTGAAACCCTGAAGCCAAAACCCTGAAACCCCGAAACCCTAAACCCTCAAACCCTGAAACCTAAACCCCGAAACCCCGAAACCCTAAACCCTCAAACCCTGCAACCCTGAAACCCTGAAGCCTAAACCCTGAAACCCTAAAGCTTATATAAACCCTGAAACCCCTAAAAACCCTGAAGCCTAAAACCCCGAAACCCTAAAGCCTCAAACTGAAGCCTAAACCCTGAAACCCTGAAACCCTAAACCCTCAAACCCTGAAACCCTGAAGCCTAAACCCTGAAACCCTGAAGCCCTAAACCCTAAACCCTAAACCCTAAACCCTAAACCCTAAAGCTTATATAAACCCTGAAACCCCGAAAAACCCACCAAAGCTTGCCGCCAACTGTGGGCTCGAACCACAGCTGGGGTTCCGTCACTTGGGAGCACCAAGGCACCCGCCACACAGGGCGGGAGGGCTGGGTTTGGGGTTTAGGGTTTGGGGTTTAGGGTTTAGGGTTTAGGGTTTAGGGTTTAAGGTTTAGGCTTACAGCACCAATCTCGTTGCACATGTCAGGAGGTGCTGGTTTACCAGCAGAGCAGCAAACGCATGCACGGCCTGTAGCTCTATGCTGCAGCCTTGTCGGCACAGGAGTTTCGCAGCTCTCGGCAGGTTTAGGCTAGCGCTCAAACGGATTCGCAGGCATCCGTGCACAATATTGGGTCTGCCGATAAGGCACAGTGCGAGACATCCCCTGCAGCAGCTGCCAAGAGATATCTCGAAGCAAGAACCTTTGACGTTTCCACCAGTCGGAAAAAGTCAGACTTTGCGATTCTGGGAGATTGCAATCAGATTGGGAGCCTGTGTCCCAAATTCTTGCTGACATTCAACTCATTCTTGACATCTCTTTTTCTGTTGCGGCCTCAGCCTACAGTGTTGCTTGTGAGAAGGCTTTCGGCGTTCGGTGCCGGACAGTGCAGTCATCGGTGAACGCTTGTTACAATCCATATCCATATCTTTTGACTACCACCACTTTGAAGGTCAAGTTGAAAGGAGTTTGACTGGTTATGACTAGGCTAACAGCCTGGGCTCTCCGTTTGACTCCAAGCAAGTGGTGAAGGTTGACGCGTTGTCAACTATGAACAGAGTGCGGACACGACCTTCGCGACGTACCTTCAGGAGACGGTTCCGCAGATGGTTTCTGCGCAGAGCACGCAGGACTTCTTACTGGAGCCAGCTTCTTCTGTGCATGTGCAAGATTTTCTTTCTGGGTCTCAGATGCGTGTTTTTCTGGTGCGTGGAGCAAGCGTACAGATTTGCGGCCAGAGATGGGCCGACAGTTTCTGGGCAAAGTATAGGCGCGTCTTCTACACCCGCGCCAATTAGACGGGGCAGTGTTTCTGACAGATCTGTGCCATTGCATATTGACCTTGGTCCCTCTTGGCACGAGTTGGACCAGATGATGCTCAACAACCTCACCCTAAGAGGCCTTCGTGTCTGGACGGCAAGCGTGGAGGCCTGCCCACATCGTGTGCAAGCTTGGTCTGACAGCCTGCGCGCCAAAGCTGCGACCCTGCTGCAAAATCGTCGCTGGCCTGAGTTTGTTGATGATCTGCTCATGACCGCTGCCAAAGTTGGTTGCTTACTTGAAGCTGGCGCTGTAGAACATACGCACCTGGCCGGTATGCATGTCCTCACGCGTAGCCTTGCTGACTGGATTTTGCCTCCTGGGGCTCGCACAAAGCGACCCACGAGCCTGCAAACAGATGTCTTCTTCTTTGTTTTGGGTGCCCTCAAGCTCTTGCTTAAAACTAGATGGCAAGCCCTCAAAGGGAAACGTAGACGAGCCCGTGCGTTATCTCGTTGCAAATGCTTGCCGCCTACCGTGCATGAAGCTATAGCCGCC